AAGATATGCGATGTATTGAAATTTCGAACAATGAAGGCTTCGACGTACTTGTATAGTTGTCGATGTATCAATTATCGAAGAAACGTGTTTCGAAGTGACATAGAGAACCCTTTTTCGAAATGGTTATTTATTTTGTCAATTATCTTATAAAACACGCATCCTACGTCAAATATTAATAATTAATTTATTGTAAATTTAATTGGCTTTCATTTAACACCAATTTGGTACCTGTAGGGCCAGTGGTTTTCTCAAAAACGATAGATAGCGAACACCGGTCGTAAGTAGATATTAGGAGGTTATTTCAGTCAAGATAACCCCCTTGGCTATCTATCGTTTTTGAGAAAACCATTGGCCCTACAGGTACCAATTTAGTGTTTAATCAAAGTAAAATTTTACAATAAATAAATAAATTATATAATATGTTAACTTAATCCGGTGATATTTAAGACGATTTAATTTAAAAAAATAACCAACATTCAACATTTAAGTCTGTATTTAGCGATGGCGTGTATTTCATTGAAAACAAACATTGAACATAACGTTTGTTTTTTTGCAACCAAAAAGAAACAAGGTAATTTTCATGGGTGATATGTAATTTCCATGGTGTTTTATCCATGGAAATTACACCATGGAAATTACCAAAAAACATACATTTTGAAATTACTCTGCATTGAAAAGATATAACCGGCTAGTTTTTTACTGTTTATCTACATTATAGAGCTAGGTATTTCACCTTGAAACCCATTTTCTAGAAGAAGTACAATTATATTGAAAAAATGTGACATGGCAAAGCCGGATAACTGAGAACCAAAATTTAAGAAATTGAAGAACTTATTCTCGCAACGAAAGCGCGGTAAACGGCGACGTGGCCACCTCACCTGCTAGCTGCGGCGTAAATGACGATTCGTTAACACTAATCGGGGTTCGTCTACGCCTCTCCAGCTCAGAGCAGTATCTCGCGCAAGGCGCGCCGCGAAAATTTTGCTAAGCGTGTGACACGTATACTTCTGACCATAAAATCAAAAGTTTCCTTCCGAATCATTTGAAATTTGATCAATATGTAAACCGATTTGTCTTTTTTAAATGTGTGTAACAAACTGATTAAAAACGTGGGTAATTTCAAAAATATTTGCGATTGCTCAAAAGTCGGCGCGCGTGTGACACGGTAAAAACGTGCAAAATTGACCGGATTTGAGGTGTTGAGCGTAAGTTACTCCGATCTACGTCGTTTTTTATCCGTGAAATCTATATGACACGATGCTTAATGAAATGAAGAAACGATGTAATAGTAGTTTTTATCATAATAATTTATTTTTATAGGAGATATGTCCCTGTGACACTCAAAAATTGCTTTTTCAAGAAGTACCCATATCGTCTCGAAAGGTGAGAACACTTAACTTACCAGCTACAAATCTAGCTGTAATTATATAAAACGAATGATGTAAATACTAGTGGGTCCGGCGAACTTTGTTCCACCCAAATTTTTTTAATGTAAAAATATATAAACTTCTCGATTTCTCCTTACAGTCAATAAATGGGCAAATTTAGAATTTAACGGTCAATAGCCATAGGCAACATTACGTGAACTCTCAGTGGATTTTTATTATGACAAAACACTATTTTCATAATTTTTCTGGTCTTTTATAATTGCTATTACTATTGATAAAATATAATATTTTAATACTTATTATCCCTATTCCCGACGAAGACAAATCCAAAAACACAAATATCATAAAAACGAACCAGCCGTTCTCGAGTTTCTTTTATATATTTAGAAGATTGTTTTTAATGGTATAGTTTTAATTATTAAGTTATTCGAATAGCTTTGATTGTATAAATTCTTATGAAAATAATAGAAAATAGCTCATAATAAAAATATTATAAAAACTTCGTAGCTACGACTCTAGACATTGTTGCAAAAGAGTCGTAGATAAAGACTTAAGTTGTCACACCACAGATCTCTGAAGAGTTGACATAGTTTAATTAATTAGAACAAGTTAGAATATCACTGATGAAATACTGATGCAATTTAGGTATAAAGTTATATTTGTTAAAATTCCAATCGGATAATTGGGGTGAAATCAAGTTCAATCAACAGTAAACATTTGACTTCTCAATAGGACAAGGATAGAAGATAATGACGTCACAATTAGGTAAGCTGCTAGCGTAGCACAGAAGCAACAAGTAGATAAAGGATTCGCACTGTACCCTATTTTACTTTATAAAACCGTTTTCTGAATTATCTAAAAAAATATAAAGAGCTCTTATTTTAAATCATACATAATCTATTAAAAAAACTCTTTTTTTTCTATTCGATTATTACGTCATCTATATTAATATGATAGTGAAGAAGATCTTTGATTCTCTCTTTTTTTGTTTGCATTAAATAGCCTCTGAAAGTAATGGCTCGAATATAAAAAATCCTTTACTTAGGGGTAGCTGCATTGTACTCCGGGTATATATTTATCCCCCGCGTAAATTATAGACTAAGTCGTGGGTAAATATATGTTTTAGAATAAATGTAGAATCTTATCTCGAATATTTCTAGGCATATATAAAAATATATGATCAACAAATATTTGTTGAAGTCGAAATGCAAATTTCCCTTTAACGGCTCACGTTACAGCGAATCCTGAGCTAATATCACAATAACTAACTAGATAACTTCTAGGTATCGTCGATGGTTGCATTGTTTTCGGTTGTCTAGCCGGGCGCCTGTTTTCCGTCCACCATCTTTTAATAAGGACGTCCGTTTCCTCTGCACACTTTTGCATACGCGAAAGTGTGAAGTGCAAAGGAAGAGCCTTTTCTGTTACGTCATTAACTCCTTATATATTACCGGCACGCAGTGAGCTCACTTGTTTTATTCTAATAAGTATTATAAAGACGTAATCCTGACAAACGTATAAATGGGGCTTGATTAATTAACATCATTAAAGTACACTATACGACATTGATAAGGAAAATATTTATTACTCGTAAATTAACAGGTTTTTATAGTTTTGCATTCACAATGCTATACTGAAAACCCATGACTGTGAACGGTAATGGATTCGAGTCCCGTCACAAAGTGCCAGGGACAAAATTTTTAATTTAGAATACTTAACAGAATTTGTTAAAAAATACATACTAGCGGTTGCGGGCGATTTATCTACCTCGCTTTCACTAGTCAGTTATTGCTTTATTCTCCCTATTCCATTCAATTCGATTCCATCCATTGGGAAGGCCTCAACTACAGCAATAGGGACATTAATAGACTAGTGATAATGATGTGATGATAAGAATAATCTGCATACTTAAATGATTTCTCTATCAAAAAACGGATATATCAATCTCAGTATAACTTCGGAAACAAGATTATACGTTAAGTATCCCGAATAATTTATCAATTTGATTAAGATTACTTTACTTTCGTTTCTTGGTTTAAATTTTCTTTAGATTTAAACAGAAAGTGCACCCGCATGTCTCTACGTCTGCAATATTATTTGTCAAATTAAGCTTCGTGAATCCTTAGGGATCTTATATAATTAGTTTGATTCGTTTTTGAGTTAAGCTTTTCAATTTTATCAATTTAAACAATTTACATTATTTTTTATTTTAACAAATCTAATATGAATTGTAGTTTTGTATCTGGATAGTGTGTAGTATAGTATGACGGCCTCTTGCGATTTTGGCAAATTTAAAATGGTTCCTATACTATTAAAAAAAAACCTTCAACAATTATCTTAGCAGTTATTTAACTTCTTTGTTAGTCACTTAACCTATTTATGAATGCCGCAATCAATTCTGTTAGTTGGTAGTTTTAATTTTATCTTCCAACTAAAGAGAGACGGCAGACGAGACGCCGTAAGTAGACTTTGTTATATAATTTGTAAGGATAATTATATGATAATTATTTAAATTCTTTCCACAACTTGGTTATTCCATGTAAATAGCGTGGCGTTTACTTTGTAACAAAGTATATTTGAAAGGCACGTGACTTCACCTCATATTATTTATCTTTGTTCTTAGGTAAACAAGATGACCCATAAATTATACGCTACTATTGTTTTATTTCATTTGAAAGACTTGAAATTGAAATAATTTTTACACTGCTCGACTAGTATTCTTTATCATTACAAAAAGTAAACGATTTGAAGAAATATTTCCAGATTTAAGTTAAATAGTAGATATAACTTCTAGTTGCACGGATACTGACATTATTTTCAAGTTCGTGGAAGCGATAAAAGCGAATGCTAACCAAGCCACAACAATTAATTGTACTTGACCTCTATCGCTTAATGGGTTGCTTCTAACATGATTGAAAATAGAAACAGAAGTGGCACTACCGGAAAAGGAAAATACTTTACTTTATCATTGTCACTTTAAAAAAGAAAACACGGAATTCGATTAGAAATAATTGTATTAATACCAGCGAGGAAGAAACAACGCAATAGTGGACTTATAAAACAAATGCCGTTAGAATTATTGTCATAAAATAATTTACAGCTGTTAAACAAGAGTTGATGTACTGTTAGAAGTACACTATGCGACGATGACATAACGTCGGAACGTGCAACCAAGTTCATCAAAATCTTTCCCTACAATCCCGTTGTTAATAACCTTCATATGATTCCTTGGGAGATAAGTGGATAAACTCGATAATAGGTGGTACTTGTAATACTCGTGAAAGCTATATTGCCAAGTCACTTTTATATTCTCAATGATATTGTAGTAATAATTTAGTAGTGCTCAGTGATTAATCTGCTAATAAAGAAGCGCCCAATGAAACACTACGAACTAACGTAGTCAAACACAAAAGATTTTTTACGATTCCCATTCATTTTTATGATGGCAAATATTATCTCGAAAAATTATTATCGAAAATTTCTTCATCAGTAATTTTCAAGAATAGTTAAAATTAATTCAAATTATTTTATAATTTACAGATGAGTGGTAATAATAAAATGTCTTATACTGTGTGTTGACATAATAAATGCTTATTCTATTCAAAAACTCACCTAAGAAGAAGATTGAAGGAACTATCATTTCTAGTAGTAGGTATGTCTTTAACGCTGGAAGGTTCACTGCGAACGCCACGAAGAGATAGCCTCAATTGTCTCGGGATGGAGCTAAGGAGGCCGCTGCTATTCCTGCGCTGGTTCAAACTCTTAGACCGCGTCAACTTATTCGCTGCCTCCAAATCAACCCTCGGGTGTGACGACACCTCCTCACCGCTTCTACATATAGTTGAACACGATGCATCTGTCTTTATTATAGTAGGAATAGATTTCTCCTTCACCAACAGTTCATCCCAAGGCGACGCAAGGTCTTCCTCAGAAATCGTCTCGAAACTTCTAGGACCGACCGACGATGAAGTCTTGTCAGACATCTTGGATATCACAATAGGCAAAGACAAATCAATGGAACGTAGCACAACAGACACCTACAGGGCACTTCGTCACTTAGGATTCTTAGTTTCTTGACAACACTTCACTCTTATCATAATATCCATTTGTAAATCATAATGTTTGGGGTAGAAATGTTGACACTGTAACAAAAGAGAAGATAATCATGAAATTAAATGGTTATTTAATAAAAAAATAGTTGTAATCTGTTATAGTAATAACGCTTGTTCCATGCGACAAAGGCCTTTTTTTCTTTAAACAATACAACGTATTTTCCGTTTGTTTTATATTCACGAATGAAAGCTATTTTTTCTAACAAGTAAAACTAATAAATTACAGTTTTTACGTACGAACTTCATAAGTACATGTAACGTAATTTTACTTTTAATACTCCAGAAGAAATTGTATTTTACACTCTCGATTTTACTGTAAATTGGACATGTATGAATAGTGCTAAACTGCAGACTGGACGAGACTTTCAAAAGTGCTTATAATTAAATGGTAATGTATTGTTTGAAGAGAAAGGAGCATAAAAGCAGACTTCAATATACCAAACATATTTCATTTCTACGTACAGATGTGTATTTAGTTTAACTAACGACTAATTTATTTGAATTTGCATTTCGAAATATTTCATTTGTTCTTACTCACACACGTACGCATAGAAGAGTTTTATATTTTTTTAATGTGTAATTTTATTATATACATTCTTGAATAAGCAAATAGTCATAGAGGATAGTCAAAACTATTTCGTAAGTAGAGATTTGAGGTTTCCCATATCTTCAACTGGACAAGACTCGGAATTAAGATCGAATTCGTATTTCGATAGATTTTTCTCATTATTATTCATTATTTTAATTTTTTAAATCTGAAATTACTCTACTTCTTGTCGACTACCATGTAATCGATTGATTGTTTAATGAAAAGTATTTTTACACGTCATTCTTAGGTCAATAAACTACCGTAGCTTTATGACTATTAAAATGCGCTTTATGAATTACTAGCTTTCCGCCAGCGGCTTCGCCTCGTGTGGTTCCCAGATAACTGTTTAGTATTATAAATAGTAACCTACGTATTAAAACTCGATTAGAATCCTTCATATACCAAATTCCGTCAAAATCCGCTGAGTTGTTTTTGCGTGAAGAAGTAACAAACATCCAAACTTACAGCCTTTATAATATTAAGTAAGAAAAGATAATTTGCCTGTAAGTAGTAGGATGTATGCGGTTATTTTTTGCCGTCATGACTATTTTCTAATTACATTTGATGATAACTGTGAATATTCGAGAAAGTGAGTGGCTCTTAATGCGTATTTTGCACAAAAAGGAAACCATATTTGAATGGTGAAATCGTTACAATTCAGTACGCAACTTTTACTAGACGTTGATGAGTGATAACTAGCGTATGAATTAATTATAAAAGGAGTGATCATTATAAGAATAGTTATAAATTTATTCAGAAGCAATTAAATTCTTTATAATTCGAAACGGGTCATATTTTTAAACAAACACTATTTTAATAATGAATCTGAATTTTATATATTAAACTTTCAATCATTAAATTAGTTTTTAGATATATCTAATCATAGGATCTTAGTAACAACGCTATTTTTATGCATAAAATACTGGAAAAACCGTATCATCTTACAGAAATAAATATTATCATAGACATTGATTTTGGTAATATATAGTTCTTCCATTTAGGTATCAAAGCTACTAACCCAATTTCGTAAAAAAATTTTAGGACTCTTTCTAAAGCTTACTCAATGAAATAAAGTACGTTAAAATCGATTCAAAAAATAATGTACAGTAATTCCAAACTTACGTTTTATTTATTCAGTCCCAAATTAATAAAGAATATTCTAAATATATAACCATATTTTATTAATAAATTATCTTGTAATTCTAACATTCAAGACATTCCATTTAGTGAGTTTGACATTATTGAACCAACCAATCAACATAATAATGAATTTTTACATTTTACAGTTTGTTAAACAATCAACGACACGCGACAAATTGTGACCTCGATTTCGAAATATATTTTTTAATAAAATTTAGAACTTCGTCACTAGTTGTGCAACACCACATGACGGCCACACTAGCTATGGTGCCAGAATTTAAAATAAACCAACATTTTACGAGTTCGAACGCCGACTGGCGTTTGTTTCGGATGAACTTATTTCGAAATTGAAATTGCAATTATGCAATACAGCTTTAGTTATAATAAGATGGGAGAGAAGAATGAAATCGACTGCCGGAAGACATTTCTAATTTAACGTAACGTTATACCGAACAGACAGAGACTACACGGTAACAGCGTGGTATTACTGTCGTATTTTAGATCATCGCGACTGCCAAGTGTCCCGTGGACCGAATGTGGGTCAATGCTCCAGTGTTCTTCTGATTCATGAGCCAGCTCGTGGATGCAATTTGAAGAAACCATTTTGCATTTAAAATGCAATTTCTGGAAAACGGCTTTATAATGAAACGCGATATTTAGAGGATAGTTTATATGATTTAGAAGATAATTCAGTCACTACCACGGTATTCAGAGCAAACGCTTGGTATTCAATATTCCTAACTGCAATTATTAAAATTGGCCGTGTGTAATCTTAATACCAAATATAATATTAATACACCTCGTTTAAATCTAGACATGTACCCATTGAGATTGAACATATCATCTTGACCTATTTTAGGTATATTCGACCTATTTTAGGTATTCGTATTAAGTACAATATCGAGGCTACCCATTCTGCTGGATTGAACTAGGAGATTAACTATGAAATATTATGCACAATAACCGGACAATGTTCGTTTTGTTGTTAAATAGAAAACCTTGACTACTATTGTAAAGTTATCTTTTTAATGTTTTGACGTAGATAGATCAATTAGTATCTTTTTGATCATCTCATTTTGTTTTTGCTGTAAGCACGTGTAGAATTATAACACGATCCAAAATTTGTATGGACGTCGAACCTTACCTTTATTCAAAAAATATGAATAAAAGAATTTATAAGATATTAATAATAATGTAATTGGTAATATCTCAATACTCAACTTACAAAATAACAAAATAACAATACTCAACTTGAGGAAGAGTGATGAAATCGGTAACAGAAAAACTTTATTTCCATTTATCTATTGTGTTGTGGCATTCACTTCCCTCGGGAATACATAATATTGTTTTTAGAAGTACCTACGGCATTAACCGTTCAGATTAAGTGACAAACAAATTAATATGGAACAAAATTAGCTCATGCAAAATTAATCGTTACAGGTACTATGTTTACAAAAAAATCAGTGAGACATGAGGATGTAATTACTAACGAATGCAAGATTAACATAACTAACTAGTTAAAGACTGGGATGCAAACAACTGATATGACTAGAAACGTGCCACTTTGTGACTAGTATACTACCTCTATCTATGGTCACGTTAATAGGACAACACCTAACCAAAGACAATAGAATCCTAGAGTATAAACGTTTAAAATAATCTCCGCACCAACTCCGCATGAAATATGCGCAAGTGCACACGTTTCAAAGATTATGCAACAAACGAGTAGGCAACGAGTGACAAATGAGTTTTTATTCTACATAATTTAAATAAAAACTAAACATTATCATGCTGGAGTTCTTATTTAAAGTTTATATTATTATTTGTTCGCGTTTCAATATTATAAAGAAATATTTATAAGGGAATATAATAGTAATTATTAAAGTGTATTTTAAAAATTATGCAATGTTCAATGTTTAAAACTATTCTAAATATAGTCAAGAAACATTCCGAAATTTTTGGCTGCAGGTCTTAAGGTAAATAATAAAAGATTGATGAAGGCGTTTCCTCTTTGAATTGGCGATCAACTTCTTCGGACGAAGCGCATTTTTTTTTTTAATAACGAGATATGCTACTTTTTCATAGATATAGGTATGACATGGCCGTGTAAAAATGACATTTATATTCCATGCTTGCAATTGTACTCTGTGTAGGTAGTCACTAAAATACGTGGTAAAGGTGAGTGTAGTGAACAAATTTTGGTCAGCTATTATATTTAGATGGAGTACACGGAAGTGAGCAGAGCGCATTTATTATTATAATTCTCGCAAAATAAGGTTATTTCCGTAGTTATATGTAATTTAGCGGAGATAAATTGGACGTTGTCCCAGGGTTCGTTCACCGACATTTGAAGATATAGTCCCATTCACATACTACGAGTAAATGGGGACGTTTTTGTTTTTGTAAGTAAATTAAAATCTTCTACCGCTTGCGTTAATCGAACACACAATAATTGACCCTAATGTTTTTTTGGCACAGAGGCCGAGTAAAATTTCAATTCGATCATTATATGATTAAATGCATACTTAATTTACGTCTCATTTATACCAATAATAGAAATACCATGCGATTTAAGTGAATTTATCACCAAAAAGTTTTATTATCAATATTTATATTCTACTTAAATGTAAGAATATAAGTAGAAAGTCTAATAGCATGGACTTCGTTGTAGAATTTTAGGAATTATTAAAATATAATTAGGTATATAATCTTTGCTCTGACCGCTGTTCCTATTACCCACTTTTAGTGTTTGTCATAAACTGAGGATAATGATGTGAGATAGATAATTAATATAAATGCAATTGCTGATAAGCTGCATTTAAAGTTATCAATGCAGTGATAATATCGTCTACCACCTCAATATCATAAATAAAACTTTGATTGGGAATATTTCCAGACTTTTTTAATAAATATAAGCAGACTATAGAGAGGTGTAAAATAAATATATAAAAAACTTGGTAATATCTTTGTTTCAATAAATGCAAATAAAACAAATAATAATAACTATTTTTATATAAATTGTTACACACATTTAATATGATACTAAGCAAACTGACATATAAATATGTAAGTATCTAATTACCAAGAGTATCCTTAAATACTCAGACACTTTTATAAACTAACAAAGTACTTAATCAAAACTTGCCTAATAAATAATAAGAAAAAACTTGACCTTTTTAGTGTAATTTTCCCCTCCAGTCAATTTCGTCCCTAAGTACGGTCCCGTGGTTGTCTTGCTATCGGTTCCGATGACGTGCCTGCGTGATGATAACCATTGACCTTGCCGTGATTATTACAAGGA